GACACATCGATTTAAGTACTGACGCCTTAAACCGTGCGATTATGAAAGAATATTTTACTCTTGCCATTTTCAACTCTTATAAACCACCCTTTTACCAATGTTAATGTAATTTTTTTTTATTATAATCGATTTTTAAATATAATCAATCATAAATAAAATTGCTACGTTGCATATAAATAATCACACTAAATTTGTTTACTTATTTTATTTGTATAATATAATATTGCTCCGAAAAAATGTCATTGGTTTTTTTACCATGACTCGGTTAATTTTGAAGCTATAGTATCCTACAAAAAAAGCATTTTAAAGATAATTTCAAGAGCTGTAAGATCGTTTGCATATAAAACCTTTTAAGTCCTTCGTTTTTTAAAGGGAAAGGGTCAAAGGGCTCGAGACAGGTCGTTTTTTTACTGAACCTCCTTAAACGATTCTGGATTGCCTATTTAATTAAATTAATCAAATTTATATGTCAGCAACCTATAGCTATGATGTCTTGTCGTGGGCGTACCTATTTTTGCTTATATAAACAGTTAGGACGTTTGTTTCTTCAAGTTTAAGGTAAATAATAATAAATTAAAAATAAAATAAGTACCTTCTTAAGGATAAAAAGTGAGGAAACAAAACAACAACGGAAAAATTACTGTTTTGTTTACATTTTTCGTTCCCAGTTACGTAGTTTTCTTCTATTACTTAGCTTTCAAAACACGTTGGAATGAAAACAAATACCAATTAACTTTCTTGTTATAANCAAAACAAGTCCCCTTCCACTAACCATATTTCGCTTTGTATAGGACATACAGCACTTTTTAAAAAACTCTATTTATAAGCTACATTTTTGGTCATTACACTTTTTTTAATAAAATGCGTAGTTTTTGAGTTATTCGCGAAAACTACTTTGAAAAAGTGTTTTTTTCACTCAAAATTACAAGTTTTCAATCGAGAATAACTAAAAAACTATTGATTTCTCGAAAAAATTCTTCGATTATTTTTTGCTAAAAATTTGATTCTCTATCGATTTCCAGCGTTATTTTTGAAAAAAAATTCCACCCCCGAGAAGGGGTGTCAACCCCCAACAGGGTGGACGCGTCAATCGGCGCTATGTCACTAATGTTCATTGACCTTTTCTCTAGCTATCTGCCAAATTTCAAGTCGATCGGTTCAGTTTCAAAGAATTCGGAGGTGAAAAGGTTCAATGACTGTACAAAGATTAGGTAGGACTTGATACGAGTAGTATGAAAAGTAGACCTCTTTCACTTTCAATTTGTACAGGCTGAGTAAAGTTTTTGTAGTCAAATTTTTGCTAGAAGACCTTATTCTAAAAAAGAGTTAAATAGAGATATAATTGTGGACCCCTTAGGGAGTCCAGTGTTGAAATAGAAAAAATAAATAAATTTGCCAAATATCTGGTTTTTTTTATAGATGTTTGATGTGGTTTTATACTTAACCAATAGCGGACAAAATGCACTGAGTCACTGCACAAATTTATCAACCAGTGGCGGAAACGTTTACGGAAAAGGGTATTTTAAAATAGGTGTATAAGTGTATTTAATTCCGAAAAAAATATGTCTTTCATTTTATTAAAAAAGAATGAGCTATTTTTCAGTTATTCTTTTACATTTAAAATAAGCACAGTGTAATTAATAAAAAAATGGAAATTTCACGTTGAAACTGCTATTAAATAAAGTAGCAAATAGCTTTGCAGTTGTAATCCACATAATATAATATGTAATTAATTCTTAAAGGAATACCACAAATCAGTTTCGAACGATATGGGTTCAACAACACATCCAGACAAACCAAACAGCACCGTCGCGTCATCCTCACAGATAAAACGGTGACAGATACCAAGACTGCGATAACAACAAAATACTAATAAATATAAACCGTACACAAACCTAAAAGTTACACAGATATTTCGCAGTTTCCCGAGAATGAAGTGGGTGTTTTTCTTGTGCGGTCTCAGTTTTTTACTGTTCGGAACATGTCGGTCTGCAAACATAGTGGCATATATGCCGCTTCCGTTTTACAGCCATCAAACAGCCTTCAAGCCGCTGTGGTTAGAACTGGCGAAAAAGGGACACAAAATCACTCTCATCCAGTCTCAAGTCGTTGTAGAAAACAACGAGAACATCACCCACATACTACTGAACGACACGTACAGAATTATGAACAAAGGAAAAATGTTCGACAATTTGGGAAAAGGCCAATCCATCGTCACTGTACTCTTGGCGGCTTTGAGTTCCCAGGTCGAGGTAATGGAATACCAACTGTCGCATCCGGGAGTCCAAGATTTGTTGAAGGGCGAAAACAAAGTCGACCTGTTCTTCACCGAGTTCCTTGCAACATATGGCATTCCTCTAGGGCGGAAACTCAACGCGTCGATGATCGGCTTGGTATCCATGGACTCCTCTATTCACGGACACCTCTACGTGGGCAACCCCACGCACCCGGTTATGTATCCAGATAAAGATATGCCGTTTTACCCGGCTCTTACCTTCAAGGAAAGGGTGATAGACACTTTTTTCTGGGTAGCTTTTAAACTTTTAATGGATTTTATATTCAATCCCATGATGGAACGGGTTGCTGCGAAATGTTTAGGGGAGGTAGACCCTTTGGAAGACATCGCTAAGGAGGTTAGTCTGCTGTTTATAAATGCCAACCCGTTGTTCAATGCCGTGAGGCCTCTAGGACCTAAAACTGTCAACATTGGAGGGGGGCTTCACTTGTTGGAACCTCAGCCGCTGCCTAGGGTACGTGTGACGTTTTGAATTTTCAAATAATTATCTCTCTAACATCTACATTAAACCAAACAATTACAGGGTCTAAAGAATTTCGGAAAATTTTCCGTGATTTTTGACAGACTGTATTTAAGTGAGAAATGGTCGTATCGAGAATTAAAAAAAGCATTTTCAAGCTCTAAGACACTAGTTTAGAGATCTTTCGGTCGAAAATTTTTAGGGTTTACGGTTATCATGGAATTCTAATAGCGCAACAAAAAATTTTCCAAATTTTTTATTTTTTTCCGTGTTCACGGACTTGGAAAAAATTTTTTCAGCTAAGCCATTGCATGAACCAGATAGCTTGTTTATTCAGCTTTAATTTCCTTTGTTTAAATTTCGATACGACCATTATTCATCGATATCTCGGTGACAGATGGTCCTACAGAGAATTGAAGAGCAGTTTCGAAAACTGTAATAAATGTTCTATAACATGCTGCAACTTTTCGGATTTTTTTTTTTTTGTCTTTTACA